GGGCTTGGTACGGAGGAGGCTGGGGGCCAGGACTCCCGGGTTCGTGAGGGGAGGAAGGAACTGGGGTCTGGACTCCCGGGACTGTGGGGGACTGGGGTCCTGGACTCCCGGGTTGGGGTGGGGGCGAAGAGGGACTTCCTGGACTTCCAAGGGGAGAGGTGCTGGAGTCCCGGGCCCCAGGGCCCCTGGGTGGGGGAGAGGGTCTGAGGTCTGGTTTCCCGAGTCGGGGAAGGGGGGCTTGGCTCTGGTCCATCCCGAGTGGGGATGGGGCTGGGGTCCCGGACTCCTAGGTCTGCGAGAAGCAGGCGCCGGGCACCCGGGGGGGGGGCGGCGGGCAGGATTCCCGGGTCGGGGCAGGAGGAGATGCTGGGATCAGGATTCCAGTGTTTGGGAGAAGAGAGGTTGGGATTGGGGACTGCTGGGGCCGAAGGGAGGTCTGGTTTGGGGGCTCATCCCCGGTTTGATGGTCTAAGACTTGGGGGCTTGGATTCTTGGTAGTATTGAAGGCCTCAGGAATGTCTTTCAGCTGAGGTGATTGCAGAAAATTGTTTTTAAGGATAAAAAAGTTAAACTTCTGGAGTCCAAACCCACTCCCCAGAGGCTGCCTATGCTGGGCGCGGTGTGTTGCTCCTGAGTTCTTTGACTTCACTGCAGAAAATAATTTCAGAGTTAAGTCCCATGTATAATTTAAGATAGAATTTGTTTGGGAGAATGAGACATGCTCAAGAGTGAGCATGAATCCCTTAAGAGAGGGCTCGAGCTTGCCCTTGACAAGAAGCTTTATAGACTTTTACAACCAGGAGCTAAGAGGGGTGGGCTGCAGGTGTTTGGTCACAGTTCTGATGACCATCTCTCCACTTACTAAGGTTACAAGGGCCTTTTTAATAATGAAAGTTATGGCCTCACGGGATTTGGGCTTTTTTAGAAGATCATATCTGTGTTTTGGGTAACTCCCTGTTGTTTCTGTTATTTCCTTCACTGATAGAAGCACATTCCAACCCTCAAGGTGGTCAGGTCTGCAGTGCCTGGTTGGTTGGGTGAGGGACGTGCACCCATAAGAAAGATGTCTGAATGCTTACCCTACTTTAATTTAAACTGCCTGTGAGAAACTTGTCTTTGTGTAACCTGCACTGAGTAATTTGCCTCAGTTGCCACCATTAGCAATTTGGTGTGGACTTTTTTACTTTATACACACATACCATTATGGGTAAAATGCTTTTTTCACTCTACCTTGTCCCATAAGTAGTCCCATACCAGCATATACAGAAGTATCTCATTCATTCAACAGTAGCAAGGGATTCCTTTGTGTGACTGGAACACATTGCTCAGCAGGTCCTCCTGGTCACTGGTCATTTGGGTGTTTTCTTCCTTCCAGTGAGGAGACACCTGTGAGCCTTGGGATCTGAAGAAGTATGAAGAGACCTGAACTCCTCTCTTAAGGAGATGAGAGACGTTTCTGTCACTGGTTATGGCCTCACTCCAGAATAAAAGCCAAGTCCTCATGTCCCCGGAGGCTTCTGGTGACCCACTGTTCCCTCTTATCTCTCTCTCCCTTGGCCTCCCTGGTGTTCCTGGGACCTGCCAGGTACCTTTCTACTTCAGGACCTTTGTACTTGCTGTCCTCTGCCTGAACCTCTTCCCCATTCACATGGTCGTCATCCTCACTCATGTCTCCACTCAGATGTCATTTGGCATGGAGTCCCCCCACCCCCTTGCCTCTTTTTTTTTTTTTTAAAGAAGGGGTCTCACTCTGTTGTCCATGCTGAAGTGCAGTAGCATGACCATGGCTTACCGCAGCCTCGACCTCTTAGGCTCAATTGATCTTTCTGCCTCAGCCTCCCAAGTATCTGGAACTATAGGTGTGCACCACCACACTAGCTAATTTTTTGATTTTTTTGTAGAGGGGAAGTCTCTCTATGTTGTCCAGGCTGGTCTTGAACTCTTGACCTCAAGCTATCCTCCCATCTCGGCCTCCCAAAGTGCTGGGATTATAGGTATGAGCCACCACACCAGTCACCCTGCCTCTGTTTTTGTTTTTTTTTGTTTTTGTTTTTGTTTTTGTTTTGAGTTGGAGTCTCACTCTGTTGCCCAGACTGGAGTGCAGTGGCCGCTCCCGGCCACCGCAGCCTCGACTTGCTAGGCTCCGGTGATCCTTCCGCCTCAGCCTTCCAAGTAGCCGGAATTATAGGCATGTGCTACCACGCCCGGCTGATTTTTTGATTTATTGTAGAGATGAGGTCTCGCCTGCCCAGGCGGGTCTTGAACCCACGGGCTCAGGCAATCCACTCACCTCAGCCTCACAAGGCGTGGGATTACAGGCTGAGCCACCGAGCCCGGCACCTCTGTTTTATATGATATCCAGGCCCCTTCATTTCCAGTCCCATCTCCTTTACCCTCTATTTTTTTCTTTATAGCACATAACCCTAACATATTCTCTAACGATTTGCTTATGGACATATTTTTTGCCTCCTCGCTGTAGATCCAGTGCCTGGGTACATGGTCGAAACTCCATATATGCTTCAAATGAACACATTGCCCAAATGAACACATTGCCCAGGCACAGTGGCTCACACCTGTAATCTCAGTGTTTTGGGAGGGTGAGGTGGGAAGCTTGCTTGAGTCCAGGAGTTTGAGACCAGCCTAGGCAACATAGCAAGACCTTGTCTCTAAAAAAAAAAAAAAAAATTAGCTGTGTGTGTTGGCATGTGCCTATATCCTCAGCTGCTTGGAAGGCTGAGGCGGAAGGATCCCCTGAACCCAGCAGGTCGAGGCTGTGGTGGCCATGAGTGTGCCATTGCACTCAGCCTGGGTGACAGATTGAGATTCCCACTCAAAAAAAAAAAAAAAGTCTTATTAGTATCCCTGTTTTACAGATGAGGAAACAAACCCAGATAGGTTCAACAACTTGCCTTGGATCACCGAACCGAGCCTCAACACCTGGCAGCTCAACCACTGTGTGAGAGGGAGATAGGTGGGAGCCCAGGTCCAAGGCCCTGGAGGGCAATGGCGTGACTTCGGGTTTGGGGTCAACCCTTCCCTGTTCAGCAAATGAGTCTCTGTTAGCCCCAAATCATCCTCCAAGGGCTGCCCCCCGGAACGACCTTGTGTTGGGGGACTTTGGGGAAAAGAGAGATGGAGTGGTGGTAGGAGTTCCAGGTACCGGCAGGGGCTGAACTGGGTGCAGAAGGAATTTGCCCCAAGAGGGGTAGGCTATTAAGGACTGCATGAGCAACAGATGAAGCCCAAAGGACTTGGGGAAATCAGCATTGGTTGAGCGCCATCTGTATGCCAGCGGCCGTTGGCCCAGCCTCTTCACTGACCTGTGCCTTGAGTCCCTTGCTTCTGAATCCTGGTGCCCTTCTCTACAACTCTACCCCAGAGGGCCCCAGGATGGCCCAGAGATCCATGGCAGTTCCACAGAATGTTTCCAAGGTATTGAGCTGGGTTAAAGAATATTCTGGGCAGAAATTGCAGAGTGTTTTAAAATACAGATTATTAATGTAGGTTGAAGGGACTCAAAAGCGATTGACCGAGGACAAAACCCTTGGTGGGGGGGAGGGTGGCTACAGAGCAGGGATGGCAGGCAGGTGACACAGAGCTGTAGAAGCAGGCGGTGGAGTTCATGGCCTATGTCCAGAAGGCCTGGCATGGCAGGATGTACCGGAAGTTCATGTAATTCAGATTGGACAGGCAGCCTGGGGAGAGGAGGAGGGCAGAGAGGTGAGACACAGAGGTAGCCAGGCCACCCCAATCCCAGTCCTGACCCAAGTCCAACTACCTACACCTATTTTTTTTTTTTCCTGAGTTGGGCTCTCACTCTGTCACCCAGGCTGGAGTGCCGTGCCATGATCACAGTTCACTGCAGCCTCAGCCCCCTGAGTAACGGACTAGAAGCACATGCCACCATGCCTGGTTAATTATTTTTATTTTTTATAGAGATGAGGTCTTGCTACGTTGCCCAGGCTGGTCTCGAACTCCTGGACTCAAGCGATCCTCCCACCTCGGCCTCCCAGAGTGTTGGGATTACAGGTGTGAATCACTGTGCCCAGCCCCCACACCTATTCTTAAGCTCTTCCCCAATTCCATCCAATTCCCTAACCTATCCCCAAACCCACCCCTAAACCCTCTCATCTCCATCCCCTGCACTGTCCCCAACTCATTTCCAAACTCAAACTCAACCACCCCCCATCCAGCCCCATGTGCACCCCAACCCTGTCTCCCACCTCAGTCATATCCCTCCTAGCCCTATCCACAACCCCGTCCCCATCCCCAGCTCCATCCCACACGAAACCTGTCTGCACCTCAACCCATGCCCACAGCCAACCCCATCCTTGCCCAGACCAATCATCAGGAAGAGGAAGATGCCGGTCCACGCCAGGTAGAAGCTGACCCCCAACTGGTAGGTCATGCCTTCCTGCAGGAAATTTTGGGCCTGCAGCAGGTAGAACAGGATGCCCAGGGTGATGCTGGTCCCTATACAAACACAGGTGTTAGGGTGCTGGGGATCAGGTGGAGGAGCACCCCTGCCCAGAGTCATGTGGCTGCCCGGCCCCTGCCCATTATTTCTCCACTTTCTTTACCCTCACAGCCCCTGTATCTCTGCTCACAATGGGCTCCTGACAACGTCATGCTAGGGGACTCTGGGTGTGCAGGCCTTGTTCTTCGACCAGGCAGTGATAGTGTCTGTAACCACGGGTGTTGAGGCCAACAGCAGGACTCTTTCCTGCTTCCGCCTTTCACCTTAGGGCAGCCATTCCATCACTCTGAGCCTCAGTTTCCTTGTCTGTAGAGTGGGTATCATCATAGGGCCCATCTCTTTGGGCCGTCACGAGGAGTTACTGAGATCAGCACATTTCCTGGCCTCAGTGAGCCCTCAAGGACTGAGGAAGCCCTCAAGGATTGAGTATGATCATTATTTTTGGCCTTTAATTTGGGGCTTCTGAAGCAATGGACAAAAAACTTGGGTCATTTTGGATGTACATGCGCGTGCGCGCGCGCGCACACACACACACACACACACACACACACATCTATTTATATACAATTTATGTATTTTTTGAAGGTGAAGTGTTTCACTCTGTTGCCCAGGCTGGAGTGCAGTGGCAGGATCACAGCTCGCTGCAGCCTCATCCTGGGCTCAGGCCATCCTTCACCCAGCTACTCAGGAGGCTGAGATTACAGGCACAACCACCACACCCGGCCATTTTTGTTTGTTTGTTTTTTGTAGAGATAAGGTCTTGCTATGTTGCCCAGGCTGGTCTCAAACTGGGCTCAAGCGATCCTCTCACCTCAGCCTCCCAGAGTATTAGGATTCTAGGTGTGAGCCACCATGCCTGGCCTCATTTCTAGTATTTTGAAATGACATGACTTAAAGATAATTAGTGGAAAACAAAAGACTTGGGTGTTGTTTTTTTTTTTTTCCAGGTTGTGGCATACTGGATAATGCTATCTTGTGTTATTGAAAAATAATTTCAGAAGTGAGTTGTTCTCTGTTTAATTAAAAGGGGGAATAGACTAATGATTTTCTTATAGAAAAATATCCTGTTTTAGGTGGTTTAAAACCAAGGTGTTTTCTCCACTTTACACCTTACATTTAAACAGTTAGGATGCACTACTAGACAAACTGGACAAGTACTAGTTATTGGCAAGGAAAAAGGTAGTTGAGTGCTCTCCATTTTGGGCCTTAATGTCACTTTCCAAGACAGTTTTCCTGATGCAACTGAGAGCTGTGGTCAGTTACTACAGGGACAGGAACACGATAGCCCTCATTTCTAAATTAAAATCCCCTCTTAAAGTATGATTTGGCATACAAGTGGAAAACGAAACTATTCTAATCCTAATATGGATTCGAGTTCTTTGGGTAGGGGTGGGAGGATTATCGTGGTAAGGACCTGTACAAAGTTAAACAGCCACCATCAAGTACTAACATTTTGTTTTTGTGTTGGTATCTCACTCTGTCGCCCAGGCTGGAGTGTAGTGGCAGGCTCACGGCCACCCCAGCCTCGACCTGCTGGGCTCAGGCGATCCTTCCACCACAGCCTTCAAGGTAGCTGGAACCGCAGGCACACTCCATCATGACTGGCTCATTTGTTTATTTATTTATTGTAGAGATGGGGTCTCGCCATGTTGCCCAGGCTGGAGTGCAGTGGCACACTTATGGCCACGGCAGCCTCAACCTGCTGGGGTCAGGCGATCCTTCCGCCTCAACCTTCCAACTAGCTGGGGCTATAGGCATGTGCCACCATGCCCGACTAGTGTACTGACATTTTCTAGTTCAAAACTTACTACATCTCCACGTGGTAGGAAATGGTGTCCCCTTCCTAGAGATGACAAAACTGTGGTTCGGAAAGGAGCTGCTTGAACAAAATCACAGAGCTTGTGGTGGTGAGATGAGGTTGGAATGGGAGGTGGGATGGGTGCTGGGCAGAGGTTGAAGTTTGCATGATGAGGGTCGAGAAGGAGGTGGAGGCTGATGTTGAGGACGGGGGAGGGCTATGGTTGGGGTT